GGACAAGCAGAAATGACCTCAAGTTGTGCCAGGGGAGGTTTAGATTAGATATTAGGAAAAAAATATTCACCAAAAGGGTTGGCAAGCACTGGAACATGCTGCCCAGGGAAGCAGCTGAGTCCCCGTCCCTGGAGGTATTTAAATGATGTGTAGATGTGATGATTAGGGACACGGTTTAGTGGTGGACTTGGTAGTGCTATGTTAACAGTTGGACTTGATGATCTTAAAGGTCTTTTCCAACCTAAACAATTCTATGATTCTATGATTCTATGTCTTTTAGGCATGCCATCTACATCAGAGTTAGGTTGAAGAAAATGTCTCAGCTGTGTATTTGTATGTATGTGGGTGACAGAGACAATTTCTAGGGAACAGAAACAAAGAACTAGAATATTTTTCTGACATATTAAGCAAATACTATATGCTTGGCTCTTTAGCATTATATTTTCTATAAAGTACAGTATCCTGAATATTAGTTCTGTACAGAGTTTTTCTCTACTGTACTGCGTAATTCACTATAATTACTCCTGACAGATAGTAGCAACTTCAGATGATGTTGTAAATATATTTGTATTATGCTCCTTTTTAATGATATTGCTATTTGACTTGAGACGTATTGCCATTTTCATTTTAAAAGAGTGTGAAAGAACAACACAATAATTTCCTGTGCTTGAACTACCTCTTGTAACAAGGATGCATTTTTCTGTCTATCAACATTTGACAACTTCGAAGAATGGAAAAAATAAGATACAGATTTTTTTTCAAATTATTTAAAAAATATTAATAAATTGGTATCAGCTTGGAATTTTCCAAACCAAGGGAATTAAGACCATCATGTCAGATCTCCTAAATGAACATTTATTGATAAAACTTGTATTGTTACAGAGCTGCAAAGAGCACAAAACTGATAGAACATGTAGGTGCATTTTGAGGCATTGGCCAATTATATGTTCCCATTACACGAAAAAGAGAAATCTGGTCTATGGAGTGAGATAGGCAATTCCAAACAGCCACTAGAAACATCCTAGAGAATTATCTTAGGTTGGACTAAAGTTTAGATGACCAGAATTAGACGGCATGACTCCCACACCAGGTATTCCTGTGTGACTTTTCCATTGTGATGTCTTTTTTATTTGCTT